ACCCTCTGGTGAAGAACCTTTATCTAATATCCAACCTAAATCTCTCCTGGCACAGCTTCATGCCATTCTGTCAGGTTCTGTCACTGAACACCACAGAGAAGAGATCAGTGCCTGCCCCTTTGCTTCCTCTCAGGAGGAAGCTGTAGACTAATATGAGGTCTCCCCTCAGTCTCCTCCAGGTTGAACAGACCAAATTACCTCAGCCGCTCCCCATACAGCTTTCCCTCAAGGCCCTTCATCTTTGTTGCCCTCCTTTGGATGTTCTCTAATAGACTAATGTCTTTCTTATATTGTGGTGCCCAAAACTGCACACAATATTCAAGGTGATGCTGCCCCAGTGCAGAGCAGTGCGAGACAATCCCCTACCCTGACCAACTGGTGATGCTTTGCCTGATGCCCCCCGGACACGGTTGGCATTCCTGGCTGCCAGGGCACTGCTGACTCCGATTCAATTGACATTGACCAGGACCTTTCCACAATGCTGCTCTGCAGCGTCTTGTTCCCTAGTCTATACATACATCCAGGGTTGCCCCACCCCAAGCAGGATCTGGCTCTTGTCTTTGTTAAACATATGATTGGTGATGGGTAGGTCTTTCTGCAGGGCCTCTCTGCTTTCAAGTGAATCAACAGCTTCTCCCAGTTTAGTATCATCTGCAAACTTACTTATTTTACATTCAAGTCCTACATCAAAGTCATTTATGAAGACATTGAAAATGGAGCCCTGTGGAACCTCACTAGTGATAGATCACCAGCCTGATGTTACCCTGTTCACTATTACCCTTTGCACCTGACCTGTGAGCCAGTTGCTCATCTGTTGCATTAAATGTTTATCCAGCTGTGTGCTGGACATTTTGTCCAGAAGGATACCATGAGAGACAGTATTGAAAGCTTTACTGAAATCCATAAAAATTCCATGAACATAGGGAAAAGTTTTCAGAATATTTTGAATCACAGGAGTTAACCTCCTGAACAACAGCTTAAAAGTTTTGCAGGTTGTAGATGATTTATTAATAGGAACGATTGTCTAATACATCCAGTAAAATGTTGCTATTCTTGCAGTGATACTAATATAAGGATGAGGCATAATCAGTCATACCAGCGACCACCTACACATGCTCTAGAAATACACTGATGAAATTCCATGGACTACTGACATGTAGGTTTCTGTGTTGCTCATAGGTTAGAATGGATTTTTTTATTGTTTTATGGACATTGCACTTGAAAAAATTGTCCAAAAGCAATTCTTCAGAACAGTCTCAGAATAGCAGCTTCTGCAAGTCACTGCCCATAGGAAAATACAGCATATATTACCTGTAGAGAACACAATGTTGTGTTAACTAGAGAGAAAAACAATTACTATCATTGTGCCATACTTTCAAGTTTGTTCTTCTCTGCTGAAAATAATGTGAAGAAATAGATACCAATCTTCTACTACAAATCCACAAATATTTTCAGGAGTACAGAGAATATTTTTGTTCTGTTTCCTATTGACATTGACAGAAGGTCAGAAATGTGTTAAATTCTACTTCCCAGCACATCCTAAGACTTAGAAAGATACTTAGTTTTATAAGGCTCTCCATGTAGCCTATTTCCCTTGTACTCAGCAAAAGCTTTGTGATCTTGTAAAGCAACAACAGAGTTAATTCAGTACTGGGAGTTTTTAAAAATCTTATCCTGGAAAACTAACACTGTACAAGAGGCTAAGGTCATTAGATCACACCACCAAAAAAGGGAAACTATTTCCAGTGCAGTGTTGCCCAGAACATGTGTTTATTGGAAAAGCTGCCTGAACAGAAGCCAAAGTAATCTCCTAAAAGAACCTGCCTTTAAACAACCAAATTATGAACAAAATAGCAATTGACTGAAAAATTTTAAAGTAAGAAAGTGTACAATACATTATGTTGTTTAGTTTTATTATCAAACTCAGTGTCTGAAGACAGGCCACTTGAAAAGATTAATTTCTGTCTCTGCAAAGTTCCAGATCACAGTATTGTTAGATAATAATCTCCTCAACGTTAATGCCAGCTGTTATATTCCTTTTCTAAATCCAGCCTCTTTGTTCCATGCAACAACAGAAAAACAACCCAAACCTGTATCTCTTCCACATTCTATACATCCATTATTTTTAATCGCTGATGTGAAAAATGTAACAATATCGGTATATACAAGGTCAGGGTGCTTTTTTATTTCAGATTGACTCATCATCTGTGAGTCACTGTGTGTAGGTTCTTGAGTCCCTCCCTCACCTTCGTAGTTTAATGATGGTTATGTTTTAGTTTAATAAAGTTTAAAGGCAATTTTCTTTATCTCAGGAATTCCTGCATGTACAGCTTGTACTGTTATTCCACAGGCTACTCAGGGCAACCTTCAGTTTCACTATTCATTGTTTGTTTGCTGTTTCTAAGGAAAGGATTATTATTTGTGGGTCTGAATGGGTCTTTTGTTCTTCTTTTTTCTAATGAAAGTGTGTACTGGTTTTGGCTGGGATCATTTTCTTCACAGTGGCTACTATGGAGCTGTGTTTTGGATTTATACTGAGCACAGGGTTGATAATGTAGAAGTGTTTTTGTTATTGCTGAACAGGGCTTACACAGAGCTAAGGTCTTTTCTGCTTCTCATACTGCCAGACTGGCAAGGAAGTTGGGGGTGCATAGGAAGCTGGAAGGAAACACAACCAGAACAAGTGACCCCAGCTGACCACAGGGATATTCCAGACCATATGACATCATGCTCAGTGTATAAAGTGGGGGGAAGAAGGAGGAAAGTGGGGTGGTGTTTGTCTTCCCAAGTAACCATTACATGTGATGGGGCCCTGCTCTCCTGGGGATGACTGAACATCTGTCTGCCCATGGTAAGCAGTAAATTAATTCCTTGTTTTACTTCACTTGTATACACAGCTTTTGCTTTTCCATATTAAACTAGTTTTCTAGTTTTTACCCTTCCCATTCCCTCTCTGATCCTGCTGGTGGGGTAGTGAGCAAGTGGCTGCATTGGTTGTGCATGGTTGCTGGCTGGGGCTAAACCACAACAGCCTAATAGCAAAATAGTCCTTCAGATTAACGTTTGGGTTTGCTTTTTTAACCTGCAATATTTTTGTAGTAGACACACTTCTCAGATTAGTGATAAAAGCAATAAGTTTGTGTTTATTTTCACTTGTCTTTGTATGTCATATTAAACAGTAGACTGTTTAATATCTTTATTGGTGGTTTGGATGTGGATTCAGTGTACCCTCAGTAAATTTGCAGACAGCACTAAGTTGGGTGGGAGTGTTGATCTGCTCTAGGGTAGGAAGGTTCTGCAGAGGGATCTGGATAAATCTGGTCAGTGGCTTTAGGATGACTGCATGAGGTTCAATAAGGGGAAGTGCTGAGTCCTGCACATGGGGTCACAGGAACCCCATGCAGCGCTACAGGCTGGGGGAGCTGTTCAGCAGAAAGAAGGTGGCAGTGCTGGTTGACAGCCAGCTCAGTACAAGCCAGCAGTGTGCCCAGGTGACCAAGAAGGCCAGTGGCATGTTGGCCTGTATCATGAACAGTGTAGCCAGCAGGACTAGGGAAGTGATTATGCCTCTCTACTCAGCACTGGTGAGGCCACACCCTGAGAACTGTGTTCAGTTCTGGGCCCCTCAATTTAAAAGGCCATTGAGTTGTGGAGTGTGTCAGTGAAGGGCAACAAGGCTGGTGAAAGAAAACGTCTTATGAGGAACTGCTGAGGGGCTGGGTTTGTTTAGTCTCGGGAAGAGGAGGCTCAGGGGAGACCTCATTGCTCTCTACAACTACTTGAAAGGAGGTTGTAGTGAGGTCAAGCCTGATCTCTTCTCCCGTGTCTACAGTGAGAGGACCAGAGGAAATTGCCTTAAGCTGAGACAGGGGAGATTCAGATTAGATATTAGAAAAAATGTTTTTACTGTTAAAGTGGTCAGGCATTGGAACAGGTTGCCCAGGGAGGTGGTGAAGCCAGCATTCTTGGAGGTGTTTAAGAGGTGTCTGGATCTGGTGGTGAGTGATGTGGTTTAGTGGTTTAGGAGTTGCAGTGGTAGTGCTGGTTTGATGATTGCACTTGATGATCTTCAAGGTTTCTTCCAACCTTGATTATTCTATGATTCTAAAGGCTCTGTGCTATTATAATATTTAAAGCTGTTTAGAAAACTGACAGTAACAGTGTGTCTAGTGGTTAATATTGTTACCTGTTTTGATTTACTTACTCTTGCAGTGCCTATGTGTATGTCTAGACAACAAGTTTCTAGATAACACATTCCCTGTAAGTTAGATTAAGTTTTAAAGCCTCTGAAAGATACCAGGCTAATGTATTGTGAAAAGCTGAATTTTCACTTGTCCTTTCACTGGAAAGATTAAAGGATATGCAAAGTTAATTTGAATGGTAAAGCTAAAGTTTAACTTAGAAGGTATTGAACCTTGATGGGACTTGAAATACATTTAAGTAAAGTATATTGTCATAGGAACCATGTCTGTGAGTTAAAGGTAGATAGATTAGAGCAGCATAAAATAACAGTAGTGTCTGGGGTTAACTTGTAAATGATATACTATTAAAATAATTATAATATGGAAAAAAATGGATTTCGTACAGACAATTCCTGCAGTGTTACTCAGTTATTCTCTAGAGAAACAGTGCAACTTCCAAAGAAAGTTAATCTGTGTTGTGAAGAAACTGTGTGCACTTGTGAACAGTTTCATTGCTCTAGTAGAATAGCTTCCTGATGAAATGATGTATGAGTATAAGCCTTAAAAGATAATACATACCTAAGTTATGTCCACTTTTTCCATATATTCCCTACGTATTATGTTGCTTTGTAGTACTTGTTTGTAATTTACCAATAATACAGCTTGAATGAGAAAACAGCAACTTATCCCATTATCCGAAATGCAGCTAGATCATAAGCTAGCAGATGGCACATCAGCTCTAGAACATTATTAAATTAATTGTATTTTTACAAGTGTATATATACTGGAGTTATCTGATGGTTTCTTTTGATATTGCAGGAAATAGTATACTCCATTCAGCAGCAGACAGTGTGACAAGTGCAGTACAGAAGGCAAGCCAGGCCTTGAATGAGCGTGGTGAAAGGCTAGGTCGTGCAGAAGAAAAGACAGAGGAGCTGAAAAACAGTGCTCAGCAGTTTGCAGAAACTGCACATAAGGTAAGATTCTGTCAGGAAAAGATTCTCAGTAGGTTAGAGTGACACACTGTTTTGAGAAGGGAAAGCTCTAGAAAGAATTTCATTCAGTCACTGTTTACAAACACCTTGCTGTTTTCCTTGACAGCTTCTCACTTGGCAAATTTCTGATTAATACCTTCCTTTGTGCCTAGATATGAGGTTTGCTGCATTTCCACTTGAATCGAAACTACCTGTCTTCACCTTCCTAAGGCATATTTCAAATCTATCTTCCCACTACTGTTTGGTACCATTCCTCATACTTTATGCAGCAGTACAGTGAAATTGCTGGTAATCCCCTGTGATAAGCAACATAGGTCTATGACTTAGAGACATGGGTTAGTGGTGGACTTGGAAGTGTTAGGTTAATGACTGGACTCAATGATCTTAGAGGTCTTTTCCAAGCTGAGTGATTCTATGATTCCGTGATTCCACTTCAGCTATATGACAGGTTATTTTAAGATCCAAAACACATAATGGAGAGTGGTAGAAGATGCATGGCATCAGAGTAATTTTTCTAGCATTTCACTGGTTGAAACAGCAGATGAGGACGTTTTAACTTCCTCTACCAGTTCTGTTTTCTAGGTGACTACCTAGAGGGTTCACTCATTCGGTTTTGTTAGCATGCTGTTATCTACAGATGGCAATTTTTTATTATATGCAACTTACACCTAAGCTCTCTACTTGGCTTGCAAAGTCAGTTTGTCTACAGATTTTATACAGGATTTAACTCAATTCATCTTTCTTCTTCCTCTCATTCCCAAATTAAGTCCATTTTTTAATTATTTGCAATGGAAATACTAGGTAATCACAGAGTTGGAAGGGCAATCAGTTCTTTGTTTTTCATCAATATGTAGTGGCACCTCCTGAATAGGTGTTTTCACTTACTTGTGTAGAATTTCTGATTGTAGCTAACAATCAAGATCCTTAGGTCAAAATTACCATTCTGGTGTCTTGCTCTAGCCTTCCTCACAGACAGAAAAATAATGGAACACTGGGAAACACAGCTATGAAAGCAGATAAATCCTGCCTCCTAAGCACAGCAGCTTTGCTTACGTGTCACAGTAAAGCGAATGACTGCCTATCTGTGTGCAAAGAAGTTACGGATTTCATACATCTTTTGGAGAATTTGGTTTACAAACTTCTCAATCAGACTAGTCGCAGCTTGATATAGCTATCATTACATGTGATATTTCTTTAATTAATTTTTTCTGTCTTTTTCAGCTTGCCATGAAGCACAAATGCTGAGATACTGCCCAAAGTTGAAATCTTCCCAAGAGAAACTGAAAAGACTACATACAGCAACTTTTACAGGAGATCCACTCTTCTGTGTGCTCTTTCCTTCCAGTTCAGTGGAGATGCGTTCTTTCAGTTTCTGTGCAGGAAGAAGTGTTGCATTTCTGCCTTTCTGACTTACTTGTTTTCCTCTTTTGTAATATTGCTACAAAGTCCTGCAGTACTTTCTACCTGTATTTCAGTTGTTACAGGAGTGAAAGCAGGGGAACTGGACCAAATGACAACCTGATCAGGATTAAAATAGTAATATTCTTCCCTGGTTGTACAAAATTACTGAACTGATTGTGAACATGCTTGTGAAAATAAAATCCAAAGAAGAGGTATAATTTTCTTCATTTTATGTAGCATCAGCAGAATGTGAATGTTGGAATTAAGCACCTGGGGTTGTAGCTATAGTGGAGAATAGACTGCTTTGTTCTGGAAAACAGAAAAACTTGTTTCTTCTATACAGTGTAGGAAGTGTTGTGTGTGCACCAGCATTCAGAAGTGCATATCTGAGTTTCATTCGTATCGGCATTTTACATGTTTCAATTTTCCCTTCCAGACTGATTATTTGAATTGTATACTGAAACCTAAAGAATGTATGCTTGAGGTTTCAAAATTGAGGAAAAAGTAAGTTTTACATCTATACGCACATAGCTGTGCCTCAGACATGATCTAGAATTTAGCAATCTGTTATAAAATAACATTTATTTTTACCTGTGATTCTGTGGCTAAAGGCCTGGGAAAATGAGAATGCACTATTTTCAAGACATCTGTTTTTCATAAATTCTACAGTAAGAGGTTTTTTTGGAACAATTCAGAGATTTGTCTGATTAGAAATACATTTGTGTTAGCTAGTTGTCTGACTTTTAATATAGAGGCTTTCAAAAAGCATGTCTTGGTACATTAGAATCAACTTCTAGATTGGGTCTCAGCTTCCAGTGTGCTGTCACTGGAAGAGTGACTCTACTTTGTTCTGTATTCATTATATGCAATATATGCACAGTATTCTCTTACAAAAATAAGTAGATTACTCTTTTCCTTCATAGCTGTTTTCTTGAAATTTTTAGGATGTCCTAATATGCTTTGAGAATGAAAAAAAAAAAAAAAAAAGAAAAAAGGAAAAAAAGATGCTGTTTTTTCTTTTTTAAAACTGGTAAGCTAGAAAAGAAATCCTGGCAGAAGATACAGTCTTCATCTTCTGAAAATGGCTGCTCTTCATTTTTGTGTCTTACCAGAAAAGCTGGCATTGTATGAATGTACTGTATTCATTGTAGAATAAGATTTTTGCATTATTAATGACACATAACAGTCTGAAATCCTCAAAGCAGTGCTTGTAAGAGAGATAAAAGCTACTGTAGTACTTGAGAATGTTTTAGTTACTGCAAGCTGAAATAACTGAAAATCTCTTGGAAATACCCTTTTTGTAAAAATATGCTTGGTTTTAGGAAAATATTCTCATTCAAACTTAGCTGATTGCATTCAAATTTTACATCTGGGGTTTTTTTCCTGTAATTTAAACGGGTTTGTATGAAGCTTTTTATTTAATTTCACACTGGGTATTGAGAGAATGGGTCATCTGTGTAGTACCATATGATCATTTAGATCTATTTAGCACCAGCTCCACTTGTTACCAAATCTAGAACTATCAAGTGAAATGGAATTTGGCCACTTCTATTATAAATCAGAACAGGTTCATTAACTACACAAGTTTTGAACACTGTTGAGTTATGTATAATTAATACCCTGGAAATGTTTGAACACTGTTGTAATGACTATGGGTATTTCTGCAAATTAACCAGGAAAACAGTACCTCATGAGAAATTAAACTTCTGCTAGGTACAAAATGTTAGGCAATTAAAGAAAAAAAAAATTTTGATTAGAAATCAGTGAGGGAGTACATTTTTGACCACATAGCTAACTTCTGTCATCATATTTTCCAGTCTTTTTTTACCTATATTCTGCTGCTAACCTCACAAGTCTTGAGAGGAAAAACGAGTAGGTTTGGAACTGCTGCCATCTAGCTGGTCTTCTAAGCTTGCAAATAATTAGAAGAAATGTCTAGAACCCAGGTCAGATAGACTTGAAAAGAATTAGCTGTCTAAATTCAAATGGAAAGGCATAGATTTTCAAGTGTTTACATGAATATCAGCTGGACAGGACAAGGCCACAGTTGCACTGCTAAGTTCCAGACCGTTTGTACTAAAACATTGCTTTAGTCCCACTGACAGTTCTTCAGCATTTTTTATTTTTTTGTATGCTCCAGTTAGGTGTATTGTTTTTTGTCATAACTCAGGACTTTAATCCAACCATCAAAAGCCATTTACTATGAGAATTCTAAGTGACTTAGTGTTCTTGAATTAAGGAAAAGTGGTTTGTCTGTTTACTTTGTTCTTGCTGTTCATTAAACTACAAGATTTGGTAGTTTTTAGAAAAAAATCAAGGTGTATAAATGTTTATCCAAAGGTAAATCTTAAGCATTGCAATTTCCTTCTGGAACTTAGCTTGTAGTGTATACAACGTAGTATCATTAGATAGTCATGTACATAACATATACTATGATTCAGGTTAATGTTTCATATGAAAGAATGTATTTGTAAATTGTAAGAATATTAGTAGTTTCTTTATCTTTTTAAAGTTCTGAACAGAATAAAAATAATGTATTATTAGACTTGACTGCTGTACAGCAAACTGTCTTAAAAGGCTACTTTTGTGTCTAGCAAAAGTTGTGCATTATGTGATATATTAACAAAAATGTACTCTAAAAATTGATCTTAAAGGTAGGTAGATTTTGCTGTGATTTGCCAGAATTGTAATACTTGCTGGTATATATTGTAACCAATTCCTTGAAAGTTCTCAAAGATGTAGAAATTTTGTGCCATCCTGGGTGAAAAAAAAAAGTGGGACCTGCTCTCTTGAGTCACTACTGGAAACCCTGATTTTTGTCATTAAATACTTCAACTGTGATGAAAACAAAACTGTCCTTGGACTGAGTTTTCTATTCAAAATATTTATTTGTAAATGACATTTTTCATTCTAGCAGAATTATGTTACATTCTAGCAAAACTGAATAAAGATTAGTTTTCACTGTAATGATGAAAATTTTCTCTAGAATACTGTAATTAAAAAAGAAGTAGTGGAAACTAGGTTGAAGCATTGCATGTCCAAGCAAATTCCAGGCAATAATTAACACAGATTAAAGTTAGCACCCTACCTAAAGGCTGTATAGGTTAAAAAGAATTATTTTAATTTATTTTCAATTTGCTATGAAATACTTATTCTCAAGTTGTTAATGTTTTCTTTTGGCCATCTAATTTTATTGATAATTTTTTATCAAAGCACAAGCATTTTTAATTTCCCTGCGAGAATAAAAGGTAGAATTCTTCTATAAATAAAGAGGCAATCCCTTAGATTTGTATGAGGTCTACTTGCGGAATAATCTTATCTGATATGAACTGACTTTGCTGCCATCTCTTTTTTCATACTTTAATGTGATTCCTGTGTTCCTAACCTCAAAAATGTCTCATTGACAAATATTACCAACTAGTTAAATTACTGTAGATACTAGGTAAGTTTTGCTAGAATGCATGTTATCCATCAGTGTTGAATGCCATATATGCCTAATGCCCAAACTTTATGAACATTTCATTAAAATAAATAGATCTCTGGTGGATCAGAAACTAATTTGATCAGACAGCATTTTGTTGTAGGTTGAACATAACTGTTTGGCAGTTCTTTTCCATTGTTATTGTACATTTATCCTATAAGACAGAATGATAACATTTTTGGTTCATTTTCTGAACTTTTTTTTAGATCAATTTCACTGTGATGTCATTGTTTTATTGATGTTATGATTTTCATAAATCATTATCACCCTAATTTGCTGCTGTGTATAATTTATGGAAAAGATGATGGGAGTTTGTCATCTTTGAGTCATGGATGAAGCTCAAGCATGAATGGTTGCTGATTCAATATCTGATTCAATATGTTAGGATTTCTAAGCAAGAGATACACTGGTATGTTTAGTGTTGGAGAATATTGTTGCTGCCGTATTCCTGAAGGCATAATATTTGACTGACAAAAAAACCTAAGATGCCTGACGCCTTCAGCTGCAAGCCACAGTGAATCCATGCACTGCTTCAGGTAGTGAGCAGGTCAGTAGTCCTGTCCAGTACTCATGAAGGATTGCTATATCTCAGATTAAAAATTGCTTTAATTTATTTCAAAAGTAGTCCCTTATGGAAGTGGTCAATTACCAGTGGGGTAATGACATGAACTTACATAAACAATGATTTTTCTAATCATTCCAAAACCACAGTGTCCAATTCATAGGACATTATTGCGACTTGTTTTGTGCATCATCTGGAAGCACTGCATGGTATCTGATATATGTTTCCTTTTTACTTTTTTTATTTGAGCCATTTACGTCTTTTTGTCAGCTGTCACCTCATGCAGTCCGAATTGTGGTAACCTTTCTTAAACAATAATTAACGTGGCTAGCTTTGGCAGGAGTTCACATGGGATTACAGGCCCAAAAAGTAATTCATTATTTTTTTTTTACGATGGCTGAGCAACAATAGACTGAGTCTAAAGATCTGTTACATGGAGTCGTAGTATTATGACAGATCTTCAGCGTTCAGGCCAAAGTATTCAGGGTATAAAAGTAAGCTTGTAAACTAGACAAGTCAAGTTGCTTTAGAAGTGGAGAGAATAGATACCTAACAAAATTCGAATTGATATTTTGAACAATTTCACAGGTTTCTAGTATCTAAAAGGGTACTGTTGCTGCTGAAGATGGGAAGACAGAGTTTGCATCTGTGTAAAGTGTTCTTTTCTGGGTAGAATAGAAATAAAGTGTGGTAAAATTTAACCAGAAAATGTCGATTGTGTTGCATACTATGTCAAAAAGGAAATCTTCAACATGTGCAACTAAGTAATAATCCACATGCTGGCTTTCAGCCAAATCAGGGCTTTTTCCTATTTCAGAAGGAAGAGATCTGGGAAAGCTTTCTTTGGATTGGCATGATCAGAAAAATAGGACTTCTACAGAAAGTGCATTTACTTGTAGGAATTATTAAGATTTTAATGAGAATCCTTCTTTCCAAAACTTTTACCAGTTTTATGAAATACAGCATCTGGAAACATTTATTTGTTTCTGTGAGAAAACATAGAAGAAGAAGACATAGAAGAGAAGGCTGTTAGATCCATAAGTAGGGTTATTCTGATAAAAAAGGCATTTGTCTTTAATGATAAATTGATGCAATCAATTTTTTTTTGAGGTTTGTAAGAGACTTTCGTTCAGCTGAAAGCTTTCTAATACTGTTTTTTAGGAATAAGGAAGTGTAAGCAATAATAAGCATAATGCCAGTCGACAGTGCCTAAACCTGAGGTGAGGGTGGGCAAGATGCAGGATGAGTTGGAGACTTCTGCATCACCAGGTGAGCAAGTCAGAAGAGGTGATGAGGTAACTTCTGAGAGAGCCTTGTGTTGAGGCACTCCCAGGGAAGAGGACACATACAACTGTTACTTGAGAGAACGCTGCCATAACTTGAAATGTGTGTCTGCCCTACTTTCTTCTTCATCGAGCTTTATAAACTGAGTATGATGCCTTATGGTATAGGGTATCCCTCTGGTCAGCTGGAGTCAGTTGTCTCAGTTATGTCCCATCCCAGTTTCTTGTGTACCCTCAACCTCTTTATAGGTGGGGTGAGAAGCAGAAAAGGCCTTGACACTGTGCAAGCTCTGCTCAGGAATAACTGAAACATCCCTCTATTACCAGCACTGTTTCCAGCACAAATTCAAAACATGGATCCATACTGGCTACTGTGTAGAAAATTATCCTACCTAAAGCCAGCAGACCATTAGTGCTTTCTCACTAGTAGGTTAGAGAACCATCTGCAATTTTAGCAGCACATTATAGCAAAATTTCTTCAAGACAGTTCTGAGGGAGTTTAAACCTACACGGAGAGAAATGTGAGTGCCCTTTATCTTACCTGTCCTTTTCTGTTACTTCCCCATGTGCAGTTGCACAGCATTTCAGACAAGCTGAAAACAGGACTGTTAGAAGTCAGAGCACTGAAACTGTATGACATGTATTATTTTTCACTGAGGCCATGAACAATTGCAGAGCTACCGGTGACTGACTGAAATAATAACTGTACATATAGGATCTTTTGTAAGACAGATGACTGAGAAAGGTACCATTTATCTGCCAGGCAAGGTTTCATAACTCTTGGCATCCTTTCATGAGGATCCCATCATTAATGGTTAGCTCTTGCTAATTACCTCAACTTAGTAGGTGTTGGATTAAAATATTTTTTCTTTAAGTATTCTATATGGCAATCTCTGCGATGGCACTGAAAGAGGAAAAGTAGGTGGGAAGGTGAGTTCATGTTCACTGACTGGGTATGTTTCATAGAATCTGTTCCTCCATCTCTGTCTGGCGCAGTACACATGCAGAGTTATTTATGAATTCCTTACTACCCCAACTGTCTTTCCTAGTTCCCACTTTTGTACAGTTTTCAGAATAATGGTTTTCTATTATTGCTCACTTGAAAGTATCTCCTCATAATGGGTGGCTACACAGCTGAACTCTCAGTATTTTCAAGGCCAACATGAAGTACTATCTTTAGTTCTTACCCTTTGGGGTTTGAACAGCTCCTGTTGTGTTATTTACTGACTGCAGATTGTTGCTGTTTGTAGATGAAGATGTAGACATGCACTGCAGGTAAAATAAGCGTACGTCACATCACAAGGGCAAAGTTATAATGAAGATGTTTCAGCATGTCTGAAAAGATTTGGGAGAAGGTTTCACAATATGTGAAATCTCATAGTGCTAGATCACCAACCTAGGTGTTTCTTCCTTATTCTTGCTAGAGGCTTTCCTCCAAAGTCTGTAGTGAAGCTGTAATAAATAATAGAAGGTATTTATCTTGAATGTGGGGGTTTCACTCTCTTGTAACAAGAATTCAAAGAGAAATACCAAATTTCTTTCATACAGATATAAACTAAGGCATGGAAATAAGTAATTTACAGTAAATTAACAGGCAGAAATAGAATGGAGCTCTGAGAATATAAACCCCAGATTCTTTGTTCCTAATAGAAAATGTCAGGATTATAATGGAAATATTTTTAGTTTCTTGATTTGTTTCCAGCATGCCTGTCAGTGGCTTGGGAAGACAAACACCATCACTGAATGTCCTCTCCTCCCTCCTTCTTCCTCCACCTTTATATGCTGAGTGTGACACCACGTGATGTCAGATGCCCCTGTGGTCAGCTGGGGTCACCTGTCTTGGCTGTGTCTCCTTGCAATTTCCCATGCGCCCCAGCCCCCTTACCAGTGTGGCAGTATCAGAAGCAGAAAAGGCCTTGGCTCTGTCTAAACCCTGCTCAGCAATAACAAAATCATCTCTATATTATCAACCCTGTATTCAGCACAAATCCAAAACACAGCCCCATATTAGCCACCAGCACACTCACAAAGACTTTTTTTTCTTCCTGCTCTAGCAATATAGAATCTTTCATCACGTACAGTATATGCCATCTGCAAAGATCAATCTGTTGTTGCAAAACATATCTAGAGAAAGACAGGCACCAGAGGAAAGCTGAGCAAAGGCAGCAATAAAATCTCATTGCTACTCTATTTGGATTTTACAAGCACTGCAAGAAGCTGTCAGTTTTCAGGCTGAATGCTTTTGTATCAATGCAATAAAAGAGCCCAGTTTAAGATATCTGGGGGAACACTATGTATGTATGCCCTTTGTCACAGGCTTCAGCAACTGGAAAAATTGTCTATTGCCTTGTGCTCAAACAGTTCTCTGACATTCTCTGGTTTAGTGTAAGGACAAAAGCATCTCTGTGCCAGAGTCATGCAGAGTGCCTTGTGAGTGTCAGCTTTCATTAAACTGCCCTTTTGCAACATCCCCCCCCCATCCTAAAAGTATGGAAAAAGTAATTCAAGGAAAAGAAGATAAATCCTAATAAAACATCATAAATACTCATGTTATGCAATGATATTTACTATAGGAATTCATACTTCAAACAGTATTTTGGGTAGCCAAACTTGAGCAGTTTTCTTATCTCAGCAGAATGAACTTAAAACACTCTTCAAAGTATTTTCCGTCCCTGCATTTGGAATTTAGAAATTGAGCATTTGATTCTCAGTTGAAGTGAATATTACAAAAGAACAACATAGTATAAACAGGATGAGAGTACTTTTAGAAATAAGACTTACCATTGCCCATGGATGTCACCCAGTAGGAGAGTCATGCAGTGAACACAGGAGGCACAGAGAGACCAAAAAGTTATGCTAAAGAAAGGAGGGTAGGCTGGGCCACCTTGACCTTCAAAGGACAACAGAACTCAACCACTTCAAGACGTAAAAGGATGTCATGAAAGATATAAGCAAGGCATTCATGTAGAGTGTATGATCTTCGGACGTTTAAGAGAATTTACAAACAGAAAAGTAGGCAGACTTTGTTTTTTAACACCAAACAGTTTAGCTGTCTCTAGCGAGCAGCATAGGGTTTCATTTTTAGGTATGCTCATAATGGCTTTAACTCAACCATTTTCAAGTTTCATGTCTAACCTGTTAGCAACTTTTCCATTCCTAATCAAATGCTAATGTAATAGAGCTTAGTTTAACCCAAATGAATGGCAAACAGATGACCTAATCTTCATTCTAACTGGTCAGAAAATACAAGAAGCTGTTACTTGGCTATCCCTTCCAAACAAAAGATCTTTTCAGTGTTGGCAGTTTAATATTTCACTGCCTCTGCTAAGATTCCTTGTTCTGTAGTGAGGTTAAATGAAAACTTCCTGTATATGCTGCCTTCAAATCTGGAATAAGCCTTTATCTCAATTTTGTTATTATACAGCAT